CCATAGGAGATTTTAAGAAGGTATGACTTCAAGGTTGCTTTGTGTCCCCAGAAACAGGGTTTTGGGTAAGGGGATTAAAAGACACTGTATTTGCTGTAAAATGCCCAACTTTAAGCCCTAACAATTACTGGAAGAGAATATTGGTTATAGTTCCCATATCTGGAAGCCTAAGAAATTCTGAGTTCTCAAGACTACACATGGGGTTAGAACAGAGAAACTCCTTTTGTAGACCTGAGCAGGAACATAACTATGGCAGTGTCCCTTGATAACAGCTGTGCACTCCCACTCCAATTACATGTGAATCAAAGCAAGGGGTGTCCCTTGATAATATTCAGTGTCCTTTCACCTTCAGATAGTAAGAGTTCCTTGGTTTCAATGGCACAAGTAGTTACATGTCTCATACTGATTTACGTGCTGAATTATTACTGTATCAACTGGTACTGAGTGTTATAAGAAGCAATTCAGTCTAAAAAGTAAATACTTGCCCTACAGTTCATGTAACTATTACTGAGCCTCCTGGTCCAGGTGTCCACTCAAAGTTTTAATCTCCACCTCACCCCATCACAGGAGAAATTTGGCAATGTCTTAAGACATTTTTGGTTGTTACACTGGGGGTGGGGGAAGTGTCATTAGCCCATAGTTGCTACTTGCCATTAGAGGCAATCTAGTCAGCATGGAATGCATAGGAGAGTCCCAGATGTCAAATAGTGTGAGTCGGAGAAATGTTGGGTCATAGGAAGTAGAGATACTGGGATACTAGTGGGGTAGAAAGAAATCATGCCAGACAGTGAATATGGTCTTTATCCTGGTAAAGTGTATAATCTGAGAAGATGTACCACTTTATATATGCAAATAGTCCACACAATATTTATATTTAAATACTTTATTTTCATTTCACAAAAAAGAAAAAGCAACAGTGTTTGCAATTACACATGCCTTTCAGTCAGTGCTGGTCATATGCAAAACAAGTTATCAGAAGTATAAAGAAAAATAAGCCTTTATCCCTTTACAAGTGACACAACACAATTTGCATATATATATATTATATTATACATACTGTTTTCAAAAATTTCCACAAAAGACAGGTTATGATACAAATTTAGAATTCCACCCACAAGCTCAGATTCAAAGAAGTGAAGATTCGTATAGGTGTTTAAATACAAAAACGTAATACTTTTACAAGTTTCCAAATAATTACTTTTGAAAGTGTTTGAAAGAAACTCCTACTCTTCATAGCAATGTGGAACACTTGGTTTTAATCAAGACGGCTAGGAGACTAAGTTTTGTCTCAGTGTGAGTTTGCTCATTAATGCAAATGCTCCAATTATGCTGTAATTCTCATTTTAGAGATATATATATATGCACATACATATATACACAAGTGCATTATTATACTGATGGTTTATACAGTGCAACTTCTGGAGCATTTCACTCAGCTAAGCCCATGACCTTACTTCTTTGAAGTGTTTCAAATTAAGAACTGTTCAGAGATATCACTAATGACTACCATGACTAATTTCAAAAAGGTGTCCCTTTCTCTCTTATTTATGATCAAAGTTACATGTATCATGGACAAACTTTTATTTTTTCTACAGCAGCAGGTATAAATAAGCAAAGTACGGGCTAATTTTTGAACACTAGGACCTGAGCGTTTGATACGGTAAATGACATCTCTTTGCAACTGTTCTAGGAGTCCTATCAATTGTCTAAAAAAAATATATATATATAATAAAGCAAAATAATATGGCAAATCTTCAGCATTATATTCATTATAAACTGCAGAACAAACAAAGATTGCTCAGAAGCTTGAAGGAAAAAAGCAAGGAAGAAAGAAAGGGAGGCAGAGAGGGACTGAAGGATTTTACACATGCATTTTCTTTGATACAGACAAATGTGGAGTCCCTAACATGTACCATGTGATGGCTGAACAGTCAATATGATTCAAGAATGCTGAAAGCGAACACACAAGTCTGGATGTATGAAATGCATGCAAAAACACAGAGCTGATGAGGCAACACTGGCTTACGTGTTTAAGTGTACTTGAGCATAACATCTAATATTGCAGGCACTGAAGAAGAGAAAAAGGACAAGAATGGTCTGGTTAACAGAGAATGGAGGGGGGAGATGCAGCCACACAGACGAGCTCTGGGTAGGAAAGGACCAACTTGCCCCACCGTACGTAGATGGATGATGAAAGACAGAAGGGCTTTCCTCCCCAATTCTTAAGGGAATGATTTTTAGGCCTGTGTTGTTAGTCACTAGAACCATGGCAATAACTCAAAAGGTTCATTCCAAAAATCAAAACAATGTCTATTGGCTACACAAGAATATGCTATCTACAGAACTGGCAAGAGACTTTTGTAGATAAATCAGAATGCCAGGCTCCAAGAAGCAGCTAGTTTCAAGGGTCTTCAAACAAGTTCTACGCAGCACTTTTACTGGCTTACGAGTTCCTCAAAGATTAATCAGCAATGAACTTTAAACATACTTTTTACTTAGTATGATCCTCTTGCCTTTCTGGAATTTCCCAAGCACGGGTCCCTTCTCATCCTTTCCTTCAGTTTGAATCAACATAAGAAATGCTGAATCTGATCAGCTTTTACAACTTAACCATATCCAAGTGCCATCTCCCATCTTACTTGTTATCCCCTTGTTGCCATTAGTTACACCACCACAAGGCCTCTCAGGTCAGAGGGCAGGGATCTGGAGGGACTTTATTTGTGTTAGATCCATGCACAGCCCTGCAAGGGACTAAGTATTAATGAAAAATGATGGGGAAAAAAAAAGAAAGAGGCAGATTAGATATGTGCATATATATATATATATATATACACACACACATATACATATATATATATTTTATACTTTTAAAGGCCTATTTCCTACAGACCAAAACAAAATAACCACAGAACAACTATACTAGGCACTGATAAATGAGGAAACGTGGGGAAGGAAGAAGTGAACTGTCAGTTTATGAAACTCAATTTCCTTTAGGTCCCTACAAAGATAGCCATGCAAAAAACTAAACACAAAATTAAAGAAAACACATTCATATGTATTAAGAATATTCCCCTGCCCAAAATAGAAATCCCGCCAAAAAAAAAAAAAAAAAGCCAAGTAATAAACAATGCACAACTATTCTACTCACTATTGCCAACACAGGCAATAAGGGAAAGGGGAAAAGGGGAGATTTGTCATACACTGATCCTCGATTTTCATTCGGTACCTATACCTATATCCATGCTAAGACTAGGTATAAAATCAATTAATATGAAAACATTTATATACAATTTTTAAAAGTTCGTACCCTGTCCTTATCCCTTCCCCACTACCCACCCAAATTATCTCTCCCCCTAAAAAAAAAACCACCCCAAATTATAAAATTATTGCCAATGCAGGCAGCGAGGGTAGGGAAGCAGAGGAGATGTATCATACGTATGGACCTCCATGTTTCATTATGTACTTACAAGTCCCAGCAAAGGACTGAGTACTAAGTGAAATAACACACAAAATGTAGCAAACATTTATCTACATTAAAAAAATTTTTACACAAATCCCCGCACACACAAACACACACACACACAAACACACACACTCAGACTTCCTCAGCCCCCCACCCCTCCAAAAAAAGAAACTAAACATCTATTCTTCTAACACTGCCAGCCAGGCAGTGAGGGAAGGGGAGTAGGGGAGATTGTTCATAGAATCAATCGCAACTTTCATTAAGTACCTAAATAGTCATGCAAAGGACTAGATTCAAAATGAAGTGAACATCAAAAAGAGGCAGAAACGTTTATATACATTAAAAAAAAAATCACTGTCTTACTGAATAAGCCCATTCCCTGTTAAGAACCTCTAAAACAAAAAAACAAAAACCAAGTCCTAATGTGCTCTGATGCAATTGTGCACAGGCTATCAGGGAAGGGAGAAAAGGTTTATCATATCTCCAGATCCGGGCCTCTGCACTACATTGGTCATCTACAAACCCAAACAAAAAAACTGGTTGAAGTAAAAAAGCAAGAAACAAAAACAAGCAAACAAAAAACATGCAGCATTTATATACATTTTAAAAAATGTAAACCCAGAAATCCCCCAACACCCTGACAAAAAAAACCATCTAGACAACTATGCCACTAGTCATTGCCCAGACACGCAATAAGGGAAGGAGACAAGAGAGGAGATTTTTTTTTTTTTTCATAGAATGAACCTTAATTTTCATCATGTACCTAAATATCCATGGAAAGATCTAGGTACAAAATGAAGTAACAGAAAGAAGGAACAAAAACATTCATATACATTTAAAAGAGTACATATCCCCACCCTCTCAGGGGAGGGAGTGGTAGAGTAAAAAATTAATCTAGAACTACTCTAAAACTATTGCCCACAGAGGCAATAAGGAAAGGGGACAAGAGGAGATTTTCATACATCCGGACCTCCACGTCTCATTAGGTACCCACACGTCCAAGTAAGGGACGGGGTACAAAATGGAATAACACAATATAGTAACAAACACTGTATATACAGTTTTCAAAAGTATATATCTTGCCCTTTGTCCCTTCCCACCCACCAAAACTTCAAAAAAACCCAAACTACTTTAGAACTATCGCTTACATAGATAAAAAGGGAAAGGAAGAAGAGGAGATTGCTACCCATCTACAATTCCATGGTTCATTAAGAACCTACATGTCCAAGTGAAGGACTGGGTACCCAGTGAAATACTGTAATAAGGCAGTAAAAACATGTATATATATTTTAAAGTATTTACCCCCGAGCCCACAAAAGAATCCCTGAAACTAACTACTCTACTAGCCATTGCCCACGTGGGCAATAAGGGGAGGGGACGAGAGGAGACTGTTATATATCCGGACCTCCATGGCTCACTGGGTACCTTCCAGTCTTGGTACCCAATGAAGTAATACAACTTGGTAGTAAAAACAGGTATATACAGCACGTACACATCCCTGTCCCCAACCCCACCCTACCCCCAAACCCCACTTCAACAAGTATTCTACCAGCTATTGCCCACATGGACACTAAGGGGAGGGGAGGAGAGAAGACTGTCATACATCCGGACTTCCAAGTCTCATTAGGTACTTTAACGTCCTCTGAGAAGGATGAGAAGGACACAGTATGAAATGAATTAAGTAATACAAAGTAGTAGGAAATTTATTTATATACATTAAGTACATACCCTACTTCCTGCCCCACAAAACCCAAAGTATTAGCTACTGCCCAAGGAGGCGATGAGGAAAAGGGAAAAGAGAAAATCTGTCATACTCTGAACTTCAATTTTCATTAAGTACATATGCATACATGCAAAGGGATATATAAAAATGAAATGTAAAAAAGTAGCATAACATATATATATATACATATATATACACACACCTGAAAGAATGATCTATAAGCCCGAGCCCCCAAGACTAGATCAAGGCAAGAGCACCCACAGCTACTCTATTAGTTACTGTCCATGCAGGCAGTTCGGAGAGGGGTGAGTGGGACAAGTGACCTACTTCTGGACCTCCATAGTTCATTAGATAGCTACATTTCCATGAGAAAGATGAAGGAAATGCAAAATGAAATGACACCCACAAGATAGCAGCAAAAACATTTTTAAAAAGAACATACTCTGCCCTCCCCTCAATATCACCATCAACTTCCAAAAAAGAAATACCAAATAAGTACTCTGTATCTGTTGCCCACATAGGCAATTATGGGCAGGGCGGAAGAGATTTTTCATTGGACAGTATTTTGCCTTTTATCAGAATAAGTATACAAAATTAAAGAAAATAAAAACATATCAAAACCACATATACACATTTAAAAAAAGTATATACCCCCAAAAAGCCACTCAAAGAAATTAATCAACTATTTTATTAGCTATTGCACATGCAGGCAATAAGGAAAGCAAGAAGAGGAAATTTAACATACTTTTGGACTGCTACTTTTCATTTAGTATTTACTTACCAATGCAGAGAATGAAGCACAAAATAAAAGAATGCAAAAAACCACAAAACTCAAAAAACAAAGCAGTACAAATGGGAGTGTCAGAGGAGGCAGTGAAGAAGCCCTTTATAAAAGAGTTAATTACAATAACAACAAAATGACAAAGGCAAAGGAGAGAAAAAGCTACATCATATCTATGAAATTCGGATCTCGTTTTGCAGACTCAGGCGCTGCAGTTCTTGGTGATGGTATGTGTCCTGAGCTGCACAATCTCATGAAACGAATGGGGGTTACATGAATATTCAGAAGTCCAGCTGCAGATTATGGGTCCAGGTGCTTTAGTTTGCCTAGACTCTTCAAACACAACTAACTCAGTGAGAGGCTACCAATAACTCAACAAACTCAGCACTTAGTTTTCATTTCTTACTTTGCTATACTCAGAAGGGACTCTGCTCTGTACCCAGTGAGACCGACGCAGCGCAATATCCTCTACATACCCAGAACTCTGCTGACAGCTTTTGTTCAATGAAATGAAAACATGAATATCAAGGAGTATTAACATTTAAGCAGAGCCTGTGCTGGTAAGAAAGTTCACAAACAACAGCAATGCAATTTCACTTAAAGGGATTTATGTGAAACAAGAAAATGGAGGAAGGCATGAGCGTGGGGTGGAGGCTGACACTACCTGTAGTTTAATGAATCCAATCTCTTGCTATTAATGGAACAAACTAGACTCCTTGGATTTCTACTTCCTGATCTCCAAAGCATAAGTTTTTCTTCTACAATTTCAGATTTCCTAATAACGTGGTATGATGTGCCTCTTCTATTACATTCACATAGATCGTCTCTCTGCAATGAACGTAATTCTTGAAAACCAGCACTTAGCTGTCAAGGATCTGTGTGCTTACATAAACAAGCCTGCCGTGACTGCTGTGCTCCCGTCTGTTTGAACTCTCTGAGATTCAGGGGTGAAGATAAGGTTTGGGGTGATACAGCTTCAAAACCTACAGTTATACCTAGTATGTAACATGTTCTACTGGTTACTTAACCTTATATTCTTGACTTAGAGTTAGTTTTTCAAAGTGCCATACAGATGGGTTAGCTTCACATTAAAAATTATGGAATTCTCTGGGCAAACATGAGGGGAGGGCTGTTACAGCTACATATAACTGAGGTGAGGCCTATAAATAACACTACGACCAGCGGTTCCAGCATCATGGGGATGAACAGCTTTGGAGAACAAAGATAGCAATGGATTACAAGTTACCTCTTTTTTAGCCCATGTTTTGATAGGGATTTACTTAAACATCACCTTCTCCCTATATAATACACACACATACACACACACACACACACACATACACTCAGAAAAAATGATATAATTCGGGACAAGATTTGCCATATGTAGAGTTAACATTCACTACAGTAGCCATGTAAAGATGGGCAGGTAAAACTGAAAAGTCTTAACTGCTTTTGAGAAGTAGCAAAATTTAAACTCTGTATCAAAGTGGAATTTAGTAATATAACATATGGTAAAAAACCAGCAACCAAAAAACCCCTCAAAAGTTTGTATTTTTCCCCACTCTAAAAATGTAAAAACACATTAACTTCCAATATCAACTAAACTATCATTCATTTGTTGAAGCAAAAGACAAATAAAAACCTACAATCACCACAGTTTCAACAAGACATCTTTAGAGGATTCTGTGATTCTCAGGACATATTATTTTGTATTCTAGACCAGAGATAAATGTTTAGAAAAGACTAAATTGGGAGAAAACACACTAGGATTAAAGAAAGCTATCTTTTAGCTTGCCAGCATTTTTAATTTTGTTATATAAAAATATTTCATAAAGTAAAATATAATTTTATACACAATCCCACATATTTTCACTTTATATCTGCTAAAATAAAAAAGGTGACCTTTTCCATTGATTCTGTGGTGTGTTTTAAGTGCTTGCAAATAAGTATCTACCCTTTTTATGTACATAGAAGATGTTTTCAAACAAAATACAAAGTACTCAAAAATTATTAGGAAGAAAGCCTTTCCCTTAAGAATCAAAGAAACTCAACAATCTAAGTATTAAGTCTGCATAGCTCAAAAAATTCAAGTACAGTATTTCTCCTTTACAAGGAGTGAAAACGCCATACAGCTTTGGACATCTTCCCTTTTCTTTCTTTCTTTCCTTGGCCATTCCTTTTAGTTAGTTTGGCCATGATAAAGATAAAACAAAATAAAACCACTGATTTTTCAACTAAAAAAAAGTACTGATTTTGTCAGCAGAAAAAATTCAAAGCCCACCATATCAGATCTGAATCAAACTACTCCTATTCCACATTCTCTTTATTCCTTTAAGGTATTATGGTGAACTTCAAATAAAAATGCTCAATTTCTCAAAGGCCCTATCTTAAAATATGCTTCTACTATGCTTCTAATATACCCTATCATATAACATCAAAATCTACACGAGTATGATTCACAGGGAAAGTGTCTATGATCAGGTAATGTCAAAGGTAACTTAAACAAATTATTTTTAGTAATAGTGATAAAGTCAGGATAAAAGACACCAGTATGAACAAAAGGCTTTCCATAAATGTAGACATACTTATTTATAACATAAGGTATATCGATGGTGGGGAGTGGTAAAGGTGTACAGATTTGGAGAATATTGGAGTTCATAAATAAAATACTTATACTTAAAGCTAACTCAGTTTGAAACATTTTCCTAAAAGGTGAAAAAATAAGTATTAAATATTTGGAAAATTTAATCTTTTGTCCTTGTTACTTAGCTTTTCAATACAACAAAAATTTAAAAATTCTGTAGCACCTAGCTGTTCTGCAGAAAAAAAATATAAGTTATAGATCTTATTTAAACTTTTTTTCAGAAAATAAAGAGTTAAAGCCTCAAATCAAAGTAGATCTGCACACCTGAGATCAGTTTTTCTAACAGTTGTATGATTCATCGACTTCATTACCATAGTTTTGAAGCCAAGTTTTGTACCACATTCAAGTAACATCTATCAATAAGAAGCAACAAATGGCCAACAAACCAGCAGCCTGCAAAGATGATGGCTCCCACGGTACAGCTTTCCTTGTTTCACTGTGTCAGTATTTTCCGGATACCGAGAAACAGAACAGAAGGCCAAAATAGATTTTTCCTCCCCATTTGTATATCTTCAAAGTAGAAAAATTACTCACTGTTTTTGTAGATGTTGGCGCATGTAGGTGACTATAGTTTTGTAATAAATAACTACACACTGCCCAAAGACAATTCGAAAAAGACAGATGGAAAGTACAGACGGGCCCTGAGCTAACTAGAACTCCTAAGAGTGCAAACAACTCGGCAGCGGTTCTGGCTTCACCTTGGCTTTTTGCAAAAGCAGGGGAGCCCAAGTTAACAAGCCCTCTGAATGGGAGACAAGACGAGGTGCAGGTGTGCATGCTACAGCCACCACGTCAGGGTTTTAAGGTTCTTCTCCATCCATTGGATATTCAACTGAATGACTTCTAACGCCTCCTGGACACAATGGAGCCGAAAGGTTGCCTCTGACTGGTTTTCAAAGAAGGCCTGGACCTGGAAGTTGCATGTAGAAATATTTCAAAGGAAGAACAGTAAATCGGAGGTAACTCTGAATATCCGTTTCAAATAAGCTTTAACTTAGTCGTGTCTATGCTGATGTCTTAAAAGAAGTAGAAACAAAAAGTACTTTAATATTCAAAATATTTACAGCAAGTTCCTGATCAAGTATGGTGAAATCTGAAGTAATGTTACAAATGAATTCCCCTTACTCCCACAAGGATGAGTTTTTCCAATTTAAAATAGAAAAAAAAAAAAAAAAAAAGCCAAGTAATAGTAATGAAGTAGTCTAAAGTTAGAATTCATGTCCACTTTTACCCTTGGAATGAAATTCTTTAAAACAATTTTAGGGGCGCCTGGGTGGCTCAGTCGGTTAAGCCTCTGACTTCAGCTCAGGTCATGATCTCACGGTTCACGGGTTCGAGCCCCGCATCGGGCTCTGTGCTGACAGCTCCGAGCCTGGAGCCTGCTTCAGATTCTGTGTGTGTCTCTCTCTCTGCCCCTCCCCCGCTCAAGTTTTGTCTCTCTCTGTCTCAAAAATAAATAAACGTTAAAAAAAATTAAAAAATAAAACAATTTTATTACCACTTAAAAAGAAACTTCACATATGCTGGTTAATTAAAAAAAATTTTGTTGTGGGGTGCCTGGGTAGCTCAATCAGTTAAGTGCCTGGCTGTTGGTTTCGGCTTAGGTCACGATCTCAAGGTTGGTGAGATCGAGCCCTGCTTTGGGCTAGGTGCCGACAATGTGGAGCCTGCTTGGAATTCTCTCTCTCTCCTCTCTCTGCTCCTCCCCTGCTCGTGCACTCGCTCTCTCTCTCAAAATAAACAAATAAACTTTATTAAAAAAACAATTATTTGTATCAGGAAGAGAAGGGAATATTGTTGAGAATGGAATCAAAATTCTTCCCGATCAGAATTTTTCCTCATTGCTGACTATTCGCCCTTTGGAAGTAATTCAATGCAGAATCACTAGCATTGATCAAGGCAGACAGAGGAGGGACAGGAAATGGCATGAGAAGGCACCATGTGACTTAAACTGAGCAGCCTAAGAGAAAAGAGTTACCCAGTCTCCCTAACGTTTTATACAACCAACCTCAGACAAATGTGCCTTTGTTGAAAACAGATGCGTTGACCCGGCAACAATACTTTGTATGGTATAGGACCCCAGATGAAACCTGAAGAAATACAAGAACAAAAAAAAAAAAAAAAAAAGAGGCAGCTGTTGAGAAGTAAAGTTCCTGAATGCAAAGGAAATACTTTACTATAAAATACACAGGTCAAAGGCAAAGTGGAGTCCTACTCCCAAGGTAATGAAGCTCAGTATATCAGGAGTAATCCTACATATACTATCAGTAGGATAAACAGATGGGCAGAAAAAGGCAGGAGTTAGGGATATCTAGATAAATTATTAATCCAACTAATCTATTATTACTTTAAAAGAAATAAAATGCTCCACGTGCCACTGAGGTGGGTATGAGTTCTTAACTGATTCCCTGGCAATGAATAGGTACTTTTCAAAACACATAACTCAACAGCTATTCTCAAACAGTCTGTGGCCATGTGAAGCTAAGTGGCCTAAGTGTCAAACATGGTTGACCTTAATTAGTACCCAAAAGGAGCACCACCATTAATGGCTCACGATACGGAATTACATTTACCAGGGTGAAAATTTCTGGGTGTGTCAGTTCAACTGTCACTGAAGCATTTTTTTCTCTCACAGCAAATCTTAAATCCTGTGTGTCAACACAACACTGGGAACATTTTCAAGTGCAGAACTGGAGAATACTAAAAATCAGTAGTTATCTGAGGAACTTACTTCTGTACAAGCTTATTCCAGTTCTCTTTGACAAAATCCCATGCCAGCAAATGTCCAGGAAAACGTCGGCCAACTGTTCTAATGATAAATGACAGCTTCTGTGTTCGGATGATATCTCCACTGAGGCTATTTTTCATTAACCTGGAGAGAAAAGCAGATTTAGTTTACAAAATAACTATTTACCATGAAGTGATCATTGAACTTAAAATTAGCATTGGTCTCCTAATGAAGGTTCTGAAGCAGTTCAAAGGAGGTAAGTTTTGGGTCCAAGACTGATCAATAGACTGAAAATTTGTCTTTTTTTTTTTTTTCTTAAATAAAGGGAGAGCTCACCAATGAGATAAGGAATTAAATATATTGTCACATAATAATAAATCATTCTTGATGTAGTAAGCTCATTTACGAAATAAATTCAAGTAGAATTTATTATAACTCTGAAGATTGGCTTTTTTTCTGTTAAAAACCTTATTTGGTATAAGTAGATAGGTATATAACTACTCTTTTTTTTAAGTTTATTTTTTGAGAGAGAGAGAGAGAAAGAGATAGAGAGAGCACAAGTGGGGAAGGGGCAGAAAAAGAGTGAGAGAATCCCAGGTAGGCTCCACACTGTCAGTGCAGAGGCTGATGTGGGGACTCAGACTCGTGAACTGTGAGATCATGACTTGAACCAAAATCAAGAGTTGGATGCTTAATCAACTGAGCCACCCAGGCACCTCAAGGAATATTACGACTCTTAGAAAATTGGGCTGTTTGATGTAAAAAGCAAGATACATTTCAGAATATACTCAATATTAATAGCTAACATTTACTGAAACTTTATGTACAATTTTATGTTCTAAATACTTGACACAACAAGGCTTGAAATTGGTAATCATTACATATCTCCATTTTATAGTTTAAGAAACTGAGGTTATATAAAATTGGCATAGTAACACAGCTGATAAATACTAAAGCCTGGTACTTAAATGAATGCAGTTCTCATTTATCATGCTATAATTTCTGCTTAGAGTGGGAAAACACATACCCCCAAGAGAATACAGAATGATTATTTTTTAAATTTTTTAAAATTTATTTATTTATTTCTGAAAGAGAGAGAGAGAGAGAGAGAGAGAGTGAGCAAGGAGGGGAGGGGCAAAGAGAGAGGAAGGCACAGACTCTGAAGCAGGCTCCAGGCTCTGAGCTATCAGCACAGAACCCGACATGGGGCTCGAACTCACAAACTGTGAGATCATGATCTGAGTCAAAGTTGAATGCTTAACTGACTGAGCAACCGAGGCGCCCCTGAAGAACTATGTTTAATAGGAGGAAAAACCCAAATGTCTCTCAAGATGTGTTGGATTAAATAAATTATGATTACAGCCATACTATGGAATACTTTGTAGCCATAAAAACAAATTAAATAAGCTTTATGAACTGACATGACAAATCTCAAAGACTGTCAAAGAACTAAAAAGACTGTTACAGAGCACTGGGTATAGTATAAACCTATGTTTAAATATATAAATACACAGACCAGGACTGACACTGTTAACAGAGAAGAGAGAATAAGAATGTAAGTGAAGTCCAGATGAGAGATATTTTCACATTTTAGTCCATGTTACAGTATCGATCATATTTTTTACTTGTTTGACTGGTTAAAGAACAGGTTTGGTCCTGTCCTCAGACATCTTGAGGGTTAAAATGTGAAAAATATATATAACAGTTAGGTTCATTTGAATAGGTTCCTGTTTAGTTCTCATTGTTTTTGAATAAAATTTATTATCTTCTATTTAAAAATACATACATACATACATACATATTTTATAGTGGTAATTTATTAGTAAAATACTACTATTTTAGAACAAAATAACTAGTTTATAAACAACTTTTCTCTGTTTGCTTGGGTTAGAGGCCGGCTACTACTTTAAAAAAAATGAGTATTTCCAGTGTATCCTATGGAAAGTGGAACTGGGCAGGTGCTGAGAGCATCTCTGGAACACTATTAGGATTTCTCTGAGCAAAGTTATACAAGAGAAGCAATGAGACCCAAGTGCGTCTCCTTTCTTTCCCGCTGATTACTTTCAAGATACCTTCCTATTTCTCTCCATGTTCTTATACAAGCACATCCTGACACTGACTATTCTTCTCCCAGGAAGGCCTACTTATTGTCCTTCTTTCCCCCGTGTGAAATAGCCATCTCTAGCTTTTCATCAGCTGAGTATTAAAAAGGAAAGGTCAGACAAATTCACATGAATGTATAACCCACAAGCTTTTACATGTCACCTCTTACTGGTGTCTGCATTTTCAAAATCATAGCTTGGACAAAGCAATGCCTTGACAAAAAAACAAATATAATAATAAAATAAATAAATAAAAAGAAGCACTAAGTGTGGAATCAAAGACAACATGCCAGGCAGATCAAAATGTTTTTAAGTAGAAGGGAATTGTGATTTCTGGCATCTCCCAATCTCTTTCAGGCAAAGCACTTTCTACCCATCTGTACAGGTCCAACTCCTGAGATAAAGCCCAACACATGCGGGCTCCTCCCCACAACTTCCAAGTCAGGTCTGGCCCACAAGTAAAGGTAGAAAAAGGGTGATCTCAGAGAAAATGAGATCCTCAATACAGAAGCACAATGCTTTTATGCTTTTAGTTTCTATATATCATATTCCTTGGGTGATTTCATACCAGTAAAGTTTCCGTACATCCTCAGAGCTGGCAAGAGCTTCAAGTATTTTATTCTTTTCTGCTTCAGAGCCTATAGAGACATACTTGCTTAATAGGAATGACCAGCCTTTCTCAGTTTTTGCTCCAACCTTGAACACAGTAGTCATGACATCAGTAGGTAGGCTGAAAGAGAGATACATAAATATGAGAAAAATAAGAAAAAAAATCCTGAATACAAAGGCAAGGAATTGACTAGTAGTGCTTTTGGAGTCAGAGCAGATAACAGAAGAGTCTTTAAAACTAATAGTCAAGAAAATATTTAATTCAGTCGGCTGCTACTTTCCTGGCTCTAAGGAACATCAATCCAATTTAATGCAATAATTATTCACTAAGCACCCACAAAGAACCAGGCAGGCAACTGGCTGGACACTGGGGAGGGGAAGAAGAATGAGACCAGAGAAGTTCTCTGCCCTACAGGAACTCAGGGGCTATTGCAATGTATTACCATACAGTGTGATAAGTTCCACGGTGGAAATACAGCAGCGAGTGTGGGAAGAATGGTGAGAAGAGAGAAAGAAACACAGTATTCTGCCTTTATTAAGGCCTCAGAGCTGAAAAGGTTATCCAAATCCCCCACCCCAACTTTCATCTGACGCTTGAATCTATTTCCATAGTACAAAATAAGAACATGGAGAAAACCAGTCATCATCAAAAACATTTTTACTAACTGCTAAGTCCACATGTTATGTTATATTTCTAAATTAAAAGAGTCTTGTTTGACAGCTCACACCTATTTGGATGGGTGCTATCAAAAAACAGAAAAAAGTGTCGGTGAGGGTGTTCAGAAATTGGAACCCTTATGCCCTATTTGTGGGAATGTGAACTGAAGTAACCACTATGGGAAATAATATGGCAGTACTTCAAAAAACTAAAAATAGAACTACCATACGATGTAGCAGTATCACTTCTAGGCATATATCTAAAAGGACCGAGAGTCTTGAAGAGGTGTTTGTATACCTATGTTCATTGCAGCATTATTTGTAAAACCCAAAAGGCAGAAGCAACTCACATATCTATCAATGGATGAACGAATAAACAAAATGTGGTATATACACACAAAGGACTACTCAGCCATAAAAAGGAAGGAAATTCTAACACATGCTACAACATAGATAAAGCTTGAGGACACTATACTAAGTGAAACTAGACAGTCACAAGAAGACATATACTGTACATTTCACATACATAAGGTATTTAGAAGAGAAAATAGAATGGTGGCTGTCAGGGATTGGGGGTTGGAGAAAATGGAGATATGTTTGGGTAAAGAGTTCTACTTTCCAAGATAAAAGGTTCTGGAGATTCACTGCTCAACAATGTGAATATACTTACACTACTAAACTTAAAATATGTTGATAATAAATTGTATATTTTATGTATTTTACTACAATTTGAAAAAAAATTCTTGTTTGACAATACAAGTGCATACAATTCACCTACATTAACACTTAGTTTCATAACATTTATGCCCCAGGATGAAAAGATTCTGGTTTCAGTACGTGATAAGAGTTAAGAAAGAAAGAGTTAAGAGAGTTAAGAAAGAGTAAGAGAGTTCATTGGAGTAGAAGCACAAGTCACCTTTGAGTTCCATTGGATGCCACCCAATCATCAAACAGCTTTGTGGCAACAGTGCTGCAGTTCTCTAGGTCATGGGTGCAGGCAAATTCTAGTAAGACTGACCGAAGCTCTCGAGTAGATGGGGTGCCTTCATCAGTCCAAGTTTGCTGTTGGATTTGACTTTGAAGTAATTTAAATACCCTGGCCTAGAGAGACAAAATGTTAATAATAATTAGGACAACCAGAAAAATCAGAATAGCAGTATCTTTTTTTCCCAACATTTACCCAAGGAGAAAAAAGGAGGGCACAGTTATTCCCCTATAAATATCAACTTGAAGCCCATGTACACATGTCCCATGTACAACTGGGACAAAACCATTCAATATTAAAGTCTATACATAGGCTGCTATAGCCAAAGTGGGGGGGACTCTTACTTATATAACAAAAAAAATGAATGACCTCTATGCGGTAGGGAGACTTTCTTCTGTGTGTACGCAGCTAAAAGATTTTTCCTGCCAAAAAGTATCACCTATAGCCACTGCTAGAAGCAAGTTGAAATGTTCTGACCTCGTGACTTTAGAATCCATGAACCCATAAAGCAATGTGAGAAAAATACACTTCTTTACTGAAAGGTAGATGTCTAAATGTTTCTGAATCTAGTATTAAAGGAATACTTAAAATATCAACTAGCTTGATGATCTAGCAAATCAATCTAAACAAAGAGGCAAGAAAATGAGGCCTGCATGGAAGAAGAGTTGTTTATAGTTATTTCCCCACCACCCTCAACTTTTTAATTAAAAAAAAAACAAAACTCAGATCTATAGTAAAGCAACAAGAATAGTGCAGTGAACACCTGTATGTTAGATTCATTGGTATGTAACACTCTTACACCCCAGGAAATAAGTTCGAGCTCTTCAGAGAGCATTATATTCTTCCAAAGTACCGTTGTTAATACCTAAAATGAATGCTTCTTGGAGAGTTTTAACAGCTGAGGCCATTTTCTCAGCAGACCTTCCCTAAGTCAGTCTCTTGTGGAGCTACGAGAATGAAAAGAAGAATCTGTGCAAGGAGAAGGACTCTACATTTATGATAACACGTCAACTCGCTTTTGTTTGCTTCAAAAGCAATGAAATAGAGAACAGACACCTTGTGGAATGTGTGAGTAACAAAGCCTGTGAGTCATTGAGAGGACATGAAGTGGAAAAATACTTGCCATGCTGACTGATAATCTAAGGAACATAAAAGCAATGCAGGAGATCCTATTGTATACACATGGCTGCATTGGACATGCTGTCTCCCACTGGCCCTTCTCAATGGCATGAGAGCAAACCATCCCAAATGAATAAAGAATACAAGAAAACTAAAAACCACTCCTAACTGTCAAGTAGAAACAGAGGAAGAATCAGAGAGAGAGAAAAAAAGTTACACGCTTGAAATACTATTAAAAAAACTCAGTGGAGAAAAATGTCAATGTTAATGAGAGTTTACTTAAACATCAAGAAACCAGGAAAAAAATGGGACTTTTTTTAATGTTTTATTTATTTCTGAGAGAGACAGAGAGAGAGAGAGAGACAGCGTGAGCAGGGGAGGGTCAGAGAGAAAGAGGGAGATACAGAATCTGAAGCAGCATCCAGGCTCTGAGCTAGCTGTTAGCACAGAGCCCGACGCAGGGCTCAAACCCACGAACTGTGAGATCATGACCTGAGCCGAAGTCGGACGCTTAACCAACTGAGCCACCCAGGTGCCCCAAAATGGGACTTGAAAGCACGGGAAGCAAGAGGACCCTGACTCTAGAAGATGCTAAGGCCAGTTCCTGAGCAATTACTCCACTGGAATTATAGGGTACAATTTTACTGGTTATTTTTGGTACCAAGTAGTTAAGAGAAATTCCCCAAATAGTTTACTTTACATATACTTCAAATGATAAAATAATAGAGCAAAGGATTTTATTTTAGAAATAATTCTGTTTAGAAAATTCTTGCTGTTTTATAATTTTTAATATTAAATCATATTGCAAATGCTTAAACCTAGAATCTGTTTTTCCATGGATCTAAATTATTATTTTTAATTTAAACTCATTAAACAATAGGATCCCATCCTATGATTTCATAAAATGAAAATGGCAAGTAGGGAGAGAACAAACCAGATGGGTCACACAAGCTACAAACACTGGGTATGCAATAAAATGCAAGAACAGTAACACAAAATGATTTTAAAAATAAAACAGGAAAGATGGTGGCACTTATATTATGTATTACATTTGATTTACTGCTTTAATTTTACACTGATATGCCGAGGGAGTTCTTTCTTGGGTCAAGTGAGCTTCTTAAATGTGAAGTGTCAGCTTTTATTGCAGAAGGTTTATCCCACCAATCCCTCCTATGTAAAAGAATGACAGCCTTGTAAGTGATGAAACAGGAATATGGCTGGGATCAGATGTTAACATCAGATGTGAACAATTTGACACAACTCAAAAGTGCCTCCAGACTTTATCCACCACAACACCACAGCATACATTACAAAATGTGATACAGAGGTGTGTGTTATGTAGGTATGCACAGTCTAAATAACAAAATGACCAATATATTTATACAATGCTCTGGTGACAACATAAAAAATTAATTAGACACCAGTCTTAATCACAAATACTATCTGAGGATTGGATCCAAGGACCTGGAAATGGCTGCCATTCTAATCTCCAACTCCAGTGTCAGATTTCATATTTTGAGAGTGTTGATGGTATCAGAATGTCCTAAGAATGGAATAAGAATTTCAGAGACACTTTCTCGCTCTTGATGATCTAAAGCTAATCTGACCTTTAATTAACAATCAAGTGTAAGAGATCTACAGCAGTAAAAGGGCCCATAGGCTCACACATACACACTAAGCCTGCAGTTGCCCTTTAAGCATCAGTCCCTGGACCCCACCCTGAAGTATGTTCTTAATAAACACACGCCTGCTCAGGAAACTGGAAACCATCATCTGGGATGAAGACGCAGAGTTACTCAAGTGTGAGAGTAAGAAAATATTCAAAATGTCTAACTCCTTAGACTGAATTTAACATCTGTGTTCACAGCACAGAGATGGCCTGAGGTAAGTATCAAGTGCTTTCTGACACTAGGCTCCCAAAAGAGTTACTGGAGAGAGGCAGGGGGAAGAATGGCTTCTGCCACAGTGAAATTTAACTAGCTGGGCAGCTTAAAGAATATTCTGCTAACTCTTAAAATATATTCACTACCAAACACTATCCTTCAGTAGTAAAAAAAAAAAAAAAAAAAAAAAAAAAGTTAGTGGTATGTACAAATGTTATTTATTGCTATCTATACTAGGTTGAATAGTGTCCCCACCCCACTTCTAAAATTCAGGTCTGCCTAGAATCTTTGAATGTAAACTTATTTGGGAATAGGTTTTTGCAGATGTAATTGATTTAAGATAAGGTCATACTGAATTATAGTGGGCTCAAATCTAATGACTGGTGCCCTTACAAGGACAGGAAAATTTAGACCCAGAAACAAAGGGAGAATATCATGTAAAGACAGAGGTGGAAATTACAGTGATGCATCTATAAGCTAAGGAGTGCCAAGGGCTGCTGGCAACCACCTGAAGCTAGGAGAGGGGCATGGAAGAGATTCTCCCTCAGAAGGAACCAATCTGCTCTCCCAACACCTCAATTTTGGTCTTTTAGCTTCCAGAACTATGAGAGAATATATTTCTATTGTTTTAAAACAACAGATTTCTACTAACTTATTATGGCAGCCCTAGGCAACTAAATAACTACCCCAAATGGTGTTGATTTGATATGGCACTAATAACCTCCAAAGTAGTTATAAAAACTCAATAATAGAAAAATCTGTACACATTGAAGTACACTGGTGCTGGACCAACTTAGCCATATCAAAACCATGAATCTTTGTGTCTCACTCACGGCATACACAAAAAATCAATTCCAGATGGATCAGAGACTAAATTTGTAAGGTAAAATAATAAAGTCTCCAGAAGAGAACAATGGAGAATATCTTTGGGTTGGCAGATTTCATACACTAAAATTAAGAATTTACGCTAATCAAAAAGCATAATTAAGAGATTGAAAAAGCAAGCCAGAGGGGGAGAAGATACTTGTAAATGTACAAGAGCAACAAAGGACTCATTTCTTGAAAATATAAAGAGCTCTACAAACGAATCAGAAAAAGACAGAAAATCCAACGGAAAAAACATTAGAGACTTGGGCATTTAACAAAAGTGCACCTCCAATGGTCATTAAACAAATCAAAAGGTATTCCATCTTCACTAGTCATCAGGGAAATACAAACTAAAGCCAAAAGTGTAATACCACTATACTTCCATCCAAATGGCTAAAGGGAATAAGAGTTACTATTACTACAAAGTGTTGGCAAGTATATAGAGCCAGAACTTAGCTCAAATTCTCCTGTGTTGCTGATGGAGCACAGCGCTCTAACATTGAACAATGATTTGATAGTATAGTATTAACTACAAATATGTTATGACTCAGCAATTCCACTTCCAGACACATCCCCATAGAAATTCATACAGATATTCACAAGAGATATGTATAAGAATATTCACAGTATTGTGATTCATAATAGCTCCAAACTGCAAACAACTCAGATGTCCAGCTATGGTTGCTGAAGTGGCTAACAAATGGCCAATTTCTTTCATGTACTAACAGTAAAAAGTCAGTGTTGGATTCTAAGTTTGCCTTAAAGAGAGAGCAATATGTTATTTGCATACTTCTTGAAAATTCATACAAACACTGTAAAAAAAAGTCATTAACATTTTGGATATAAAAAAATTTCAAACAGTAGGTTGACAACTTTATTTTCAAGGAACTAGGTGTAGGTCTGTCATTTTAAACACACGTGGTCTACACGTTTTCAAACTGTTTTAATTTAAAATCTCAGCTAAAAAAATGATAGCAGGAAAGAAACAGCCTTGATTTTTCAAACAAAAAGGTATCTTTTGAAAGATGACATTGCTAGAATACAAATTAATTTAAAATACAGCAATATAATACAAATGATGGGCTTCAGAGAGGAACTAATCTAGCTTTGAAGCTCAGCTTTAAAATTTACTTGGTAAGTAACTTTGGAAAAGTTAGGTAGTCTCCTCGTCTATACAATGAGGGTAGAAATATCTATCTGGCAAGGTGCTTGGGTGGTTCAGTCAGTTAAGCGTCCAACTTGGCTCAGGTCATGATCTCGTGGCTCATGACTTTGAGCCCAGGGTCGGGCTCTGTGCTGACAGGAGCCTGGAGCCTGCTTGGGATTTTGTGTCTCCCTCTCTCCCTCTCTGCCCCTCTCTCACTCACACTTTGTCTCTGTCTCTCTCTCTGTCTCTCTCAAAAATAAATAAACATTAAAAAATGAAATCTTGTGTAAGGATTACACAAGATTAATTACATTAAGCACTAAGCATGGTGTGTAGACTATACCAAGCACTGAGATGTATCTGTTTCTGGTTTATTTCACTCATTTGTTTGCTCAATATTTATTGAGTAACACTATGAGCTGAGTTACATTCTGAAGACCCTGTTTTTTATTAAGGATGGTAATAGACAGCCCTATGATATACAAGAATGATAAAAATCCTAACAATTAGAAAAGACCTTAGAAATTATCTAACTTACATATCACAGTTATGCATAGGGATAGGCGTGGCTCTTTTGGGGTCAGCTCAGAGATTTGGGAGGAAGGGCACTTTTCAAGCTCCATATGGAGCCATGCACTGCCTCCCTTCACTGTGATGAGAGAACACCTCATAGGAGATGTGCAGGACAGTAAGAGGCAGAAAGGAGGTTGTTTCTTAAAAAAAGAGAGAGAGAGAGAGAGAGATGTAATCTAACCCCTTCCTCTGACCAGTAAGAACATCAAAACCCTAAAAGAAATTCTCATTTCTGGTCCAATACTTTTTTCCTTTTTCTTCTTTCTTTTCTTTTCTTTTTTTTTTTTTTTTAAGGGAAATGTGTTTTCATTGCATCTCCTTTTACTTTTTAAAAAATGTTTTATTTATTTTTGAGAGAGAGAGAGAGAGACTTCGTGAGCAGGGGAGGGTCACAGAGAGAGGGAGACACAGAATCCAAAGACAGGCTCCAGGCTTTGAGCTGTTAGCACAGAGCCCGACTCAAGGCTCGAACCCACGAACTGTGAGATCATGACCTGAGCTGAAGCCGGATGCTCAACCGACTGAGCCACCCAGGTGCCCCACTTTATTCCTTTTTCTGAGAGATTCCTTTTGTCTGGTCCTTGGCAAAACTGACTGATTCATAAAGCAAACCCTACTGTCAGATGCTGATTCAGAGAGTAAGATGAAACAAAGAATTCATCTCAACTTCCCAAGCTTTTAAAGACTCTGTCAACAGTTTAATACTGAAAGTGCCTAACTAATAACTGTTAAGATCAGGAAACAGGTTTTTAAAAAAATAAAGCAGTCACCACTACTAAGATTTTATTTTATTTTAAAATTTTTAATAGTTTATTGTTATGTTGGTTTCCATACAACATCCAATGCTCATCCCCACAATGCCCTCCTCCATGCCCATCACCCCCTTTCCCTCTCCCCCATACCCAACAGTCCTCAGTTTGTTCTCAACATTCAAGAGTCTCTCATGGTTTGCCTCCCTCCCTCTCCCCCGTTTCCCCCTTCTTCGTCCCCAAAGTCCTCCGTTAAGCTTTAAGTGCTTTGCAGATAAATCTGTCCATGAGCACCATCATCCATAACACAGTAAGGACTCCTAAAGCAGAATGTTCTTCAATACAAACACAACTGTCATTTCATAATAACTAATAGGAAGTCAATGGGGAGCACCACCTTACAAAACGGCCCATCTCAAGCATTTATTATATAGAAATAAACTGGGATTTGAATAGAGAAGTTTCCTTTTCATGTGATCTCATTTTGGCAGAAGTGTCAGAAATCTGTATTTGGATATTCAAACAATACCATATCATGCTAACCCTTTATCAACTCTCCTGGTAAGCAATGACATTTTGATTCAAAGTAAAGATTTTACAACTAGTAGAGTAAAGAAAAGGAAATGTGACTGGCTGCTTTTGCAGCCTAATACTGATGAACAGAACTGTGAATGACAACATTAAAGGCAAGCAACAAAGACAGGTTGGCAATAAGGTAGACTCACCACTACTCTTGAGGCAAGATCCATGTATCCCAGCTTTTCAAGGAGGTTATAGATGAGGCCTGTCTGGAACAGGGCTTCAGTGATGGGGGCGGTATAGGTCTCATTTCTGAGGTAATCAATCAAATCAAAGGCCCTTTGAAGAGACACCTTGCCTAGGCTAAAGGGTAAAAGAACAGAAAAGTCAATATGCTGAGAGAAGCAGATGAAGTCTATGCACATGCTGAGAAACATTAGGAATAGATGGTGAGTCTTGAAGAACTAAAATGTAAGCTTAAATGGCATTCTGTAAAGTTAGACTAAATATTATTATCTTTGATTAAGTTCATGCATGGGACTCAAGGTTAAAGATACATTTCATGAAAAGGATAAACAATAGCTCAGGTTTTATTCCGTAAGTCACCTGTATATTGCTACTGAATCATGAAAAGTATTACAATGTCTTAGATGAGAAAAGATGAAGAGTACTAATTTTACTTATTTATTACATATATTTACCAGGTGAGAGCAAGTGGCATAAAGAGGATTTGAATCAAAAAGAAAATATTTTGTTATTTGTATGGGAATTTGTCACACTTGTTAAGTCAAGGTCCACTGTGAAATTATGGTGAGTGCATTTGAAAAATTAACCATGTAAGAGAAATCATAACAATGATGGCTGAGATGATATATAGTCACTTCATAAAACATGAACCAACATAAGGTCAAGAACAGTCCAGAAGAATACTTCTGAATATTCCATGTGTCTCTAGACCCATTAACAACCTAAGCTGGTACTCTTACTGTTCAGAGGATAGCTACCCACAAGGTCACTGCCATACTTGGTTTTGGGATTCTGTAATGCACAGAGTGGTTGGGAGGCGAGTTGTAACCAAATTAAGAAGGCCCCAAGTCTCAGAGACATCACTCAAACCACTGGGTAAAAACTACTCAAGCTGCTTGAAAAGAATTTTCTCATGAAATAAAGCAAAGCCTGAACTCCTATATCAATATATTCAGCAAACCTGTGTCTTGCTTGTTAATATTGTAATCTTAACTGTTACTGAGCTGTTCAGTATGTTTGTAGCTGATGTTTCTATATAGATTATAACACCAGTGCAGGCAAGGATTATATCTTATACCTTCCCAATCATCCAAAATGAATTATACCTAACAGGTAATACATGCCAGTTCTTTTGAACTGTTTTTCTAAAGTTTTATTTTCCACAATAACACTTCTTTAAAAATAAACAAACCCAAACCAAGCACACTCTACCCTGCAAGTTCAAAGATGTTGTTGATGAGGCTGGCTCGGTCTTTGTCACTCAGGACATAAGGATTTGTTTTCAGCTGTTTGATTAGTGCTTCCCAGTCATCGTCTGCATAGTGTACAACATAATAGCCATTCATGTTTGTATTGACTTTGATCCACTCCACTTCTTCTGTAAGATTGATGACACCTAATATAGACCAAGGAATGAGAGTGAGAGAGAGAGGGAGGGAGGGAGGAGATAACAGGGGAAGAAAAACTATTAAACGATGTTTAGTTTGTTTCAAAGTTAATAGAGGATATTTTTACATTTAATTATTCTATTAAGAAACTAAATGTCTGCCTCCCAGTGCAGTTAATATTGGCAAAGATCACCATTCATTCATTTAACAATTATTTATTTAATGGTAAACAGGATAGATAGGTTCCTTCCCTCAAAAATCTTATAATCTAAGATAGTCAGGCAGGTAGACTATCATATAGATGTTACTGAATAAAGAAAATAGGGTGATATGCACTTTTGGGGCCCCTACCATTACATATATAAATGTTGAGAGAACTGATAGAAATTTATATAGAATGATTTCAATTAATAAGGAGCTATAAAATATAGGACTACAAAAATATATTACTATAAAACCCGACTACAAAATCAATGTAAGAATTTTAAAAATCCTTTAAATTACTGATCAAGAAATGTCATTTAAAGTTGGCAACAAAGACTTCTAAGCATCTTAAGATTTAGTATTTATTAGAATATAAATCCATGAGCTTACCATTTTGTTTAATCCTAATCCCTTAGTGCCCAGAACACTGTTCTTAGCAGGTACTCAAGCAATACTTGGTGAATTACTAAATAAGTGAACAAGATAACTATGTCACGGTAAATGTTTTCAAAACAAATCTAAATAGTGTTTGAAAGATGTTGATAAGCTTTCCTCCCAATTTTATTTTATTTTTAAAATTTTGTTAGAAACCAAGTTGTTAACATATAGCCTAATAATGGTTTCAGGAGCGGTCCTCCCAATTTTTTTAAAAAAATTTTTAAAATGTTTTACTTATTTCTAGGAGAGAGAGAGAGGGAGAGGCAGCGTGAGCAGGAGAGGGTCAGAGAGAGAGGGAGTCACAGACTGAAACAGGCTCCAGGCTCTGAGCTGGCAGTCAGCACAGAGCCCGGCGCGGGGCTCGAACCCACGAACCGCGAGATCATGACCTGAGCGAAAGTCGGACGCTTAACCGACTAAGCCACCCGGGCGCCCCAGCAGGCCTCCCAATTTTAAAGGAAGGCGTACGAGGGGCACCTGGGTGGCTCAGCTGGTGAAGCATCCAACTCTTGATTTCAGCGATTCCAGGGTCATGGGGTTGAGCCTCATGTCAGACTGTGCTGAGCTTAGAGCCTGCTTAAGATTCTCTCTCTGTCCCTATGCCCCTCCTCCCCCTGTAAGCATGGCCTCTCTTAAATAATTAAACAAACAAATAAATAAATAAAGGAGCACTAACTTTAAAAATTATATAAGAGGAGTAGAGATAAGGAAAATAATCTACAGTCAGCCAGTCTGCCAGCAATGGCACTGTGGGGTATATTTCCTGCCAAGACCATTCTTATACACATTTTAATCCATGTAATATTTCATACAGTGGATACATGTGCATTTATTCTTATACTACTTTTTACCTACCAGATTTCAACCCCAGCCATTTTTCCATTGTCTTCATAGGCAATATTCAAATATCTTCATAAAATTCCTTTTAAAAACCAACCACACTTTAACCAATCTCGTATTTGGAAATATTTAAGCTGTCTTAAAAAATTGACTGTCAAAATAACTGTATGATGGATTTTGCACATAAATTGCTTTAGAAACACATTTAAACCCTTTGGTACCTGAAGTCTCAGGTCTATCAACTTCAAAAGCATGAATTATTAAAATGTATCAAATTCTCTTAATATCTTAGTTACTCCAATTCTACTGAAACTACAAAGGATGTTAAGATGGAAAAGACTTGTACTCTGATCATGTCTTAACGTGACATATCAGATAATCAGTCGTGTTCACTAAAAAAATGCCATACTAATTTCTGTTTCATTGCTGATATAGCAGCAGATGGGAAAGATCGATTACATTAATAGGATTTATTTCCTTTTGTAGAGCAGAATGCAGTTCTAAGGAATAATTGTGATGGCAAAGTAGATGCTCCAAGTTGGAGGCATTTTAACAAAATGATGACTAATGAAATTAACTTTATCATTAACTATGGCAAAAATACCGGCATTCTCCAGGTTCCCAAACACAATTTCCTGTAGAGCATTTATCAAGAAAGGGCCTAGGGAAGAAGGGCTATAGGGCTCCAAATCTCCCTTTCCCCAAAAAAGGAGGCAAGAAATGATAAGTATGGCAATTCTTCCACTGGAAGGATGTAGGACAATACTGAAATACAGTGTACTTTGGCTGATAAGCAATTTGCCATGTTATAAACTTAGCCAATTCCAGACGGTAGAGGGGAGGAAGGCAGCTGGGAGTGTACTTAAAATTGTTACTGTCATCTCGATGACAGAATATAAAGCAGTGCAGCCAACAGTATGGAGAGGGGAGTTATCATTTAAAGAATCAACATATTAGTCTCTTTCAGGTCTTCTGAATGATCCAGAATGAAGGACCTTAAAACCACAGGTATCAAAAAATAATAGCTTTGCACACAAGGGAGGTAACTACATCCTGCAGCTCAAAAGTGGATGAGGCTACTCTCATATGTTTTTAATTTATTATAATCATTAACAGATTAAGAGTTCCATTTTCACAGTCCACTGAGTATTAAAAAAGAGTAACTCCAATCTTATATGGCAGAAGCAGATGAAGTAATTTAGTAGTGATTTTAAAAGCCATTTGTCAATGAGTTTTGAAAATCAACTACCGTTTTAAACAGAAACATTAAAGCACAGAAACAAAATACTAGTTTTTACAACAAAGTTGAAAATTTTCCTGTGTAGCTTGCTCCAGAGAATTAGCATGATATGTGCATTCGAACTACATCTCCTCTTGTTCGAAAGCATTCCTTTCTCCAATACCTCTCTATTATCCTTTATTTTATTAGGAAGAAAAAGGCAAGCTCAAAGGATGGCACATGATAAATATCTTAATTATATGCTTTTCCTTATTCTTTTTTTCCAAATGCCTTTCATTCAAAGACAATGACATGTCTCTTCATTTCAGATAAATATTTTTTGGCACAGTGATATCATGAATGTTTCAAGTTAGATTTAGTATAAAGATTTCCTATAGTTAAAGAGTTTAGGTCTGAATAAGAGTGGATGAGGGAGGGGTATAGGGAGGGAAAAGAGGAGAGTAAAAAAGGGAATGGAGAGGAAGACACTATTTTAGTGTAATTTCCTCAATATGTGGCTTGAAAAAATAGCCCCTTTCAGACTTTCTCACGCACAACAGGTGCCCAAGCTCACCCCTAGCAAGTGGACAGTGGAGCATATACTTCAAGAGACTGCTCTACGCACTACTTTTTCTTTGCAACAACAGATACTTATCTAGGATATAAAAACACGGTGTAACCTTTTATACTTTATTTCACATGAATAAGAATGACTAATTTTATGTGAGAGACATGGAATCAGTGTCACTTTACTCATATCTTGTATAGATGACTCATAAAACCAGCTCAGAGAGTATGCACTTTGGAAAGTAAAATCTCCTTCTGTGGTTTGGTCAGATTTTTAAAAAATATATTGTTTTAAATTTCTTCTTAGAAAAGAGTTAATTATAGTCAAACCTGATTTCTTGTCCAATAAAAATACCAATGGATATTTTGAGTAATTTCTTCCCCCAGTGACATAGGATAGTGGAATATGCCAGAGATAGCTGTAAAAAAAAAATATTGGAAGATTATTACTCTGTCCAGTATTTCAGTCAGTTCTCAGTCAGTTACACATAACTTTTTGGGGTCATTTTATGTTTTTTCCTTTTGGCAGGAAGGAGAAATTTTTAAGCTATTTCCAGAAAAAGATAATCTTGTTAGGTTTCTTACGAGATTGTGACTACAAAATACTTTAACCTATGGGTGCAAAAGAGATAGAAAACAGGAAGAGAAAGCAGGAATGCACCTTCCATCTGAAGGCTGAATTTCAGGCTTCGTATTTAAAAAGTATCTTTCTTGTTGTACATGAAGTTCTTTTCCTTTTCTTTGAACAGTCACTAAAGGAAATCCTTTTTGCAGGGTCCAGGTTTTCATCATTTTCTTTACATCTAGTGTTTTGTTTGTGACCTATATAAAAAAATTATTTTTGCTTAAAAACAAAAGTTTTCTCTCTTTGCATACCACATTATATGAAGACTACGTGTAACGTCAACATAAAAACAGAAGTATGAATATGGAGTTAAAATTTTTGTAAATGTTGACATTCACCTTTGGAAGAACTAATTCTGTGCGAGTGCCAGAAAGCAGCAGCAGAGTAAGATATAAACAGGTCGGCTGCCTCGACTTTAAGTTTCTCCAGAGAACAGTGGTGAGCTGTTTTGATAGTCACAGACCCTCTCTCCCAGAAATTGCATCAACTTATCTGCCAAAATCTAGAATCCAGTGTCAGAGGTTCACAGACCCTCTAAAGCCCACCATCCCCTAAAGACATTTTGGAACAACTATGTCTTTAAAGCAGGTGAGGTAACCTTATGATTCAAGTCATTCTTCTAGATTACATGTGGATTTGGATTGCAAGCAACTAAAATCACTACGTACTTCGTTTAGTAACAGTACCACTGCACTATGGAAGGCCTTACCTCAGTCTTCATACACTCATTTGTTTACAGCAAAAAAGGATGGATCAAATCTATCCAAACTCACTGCAGTATTAATATTACTTTTCTCATGGCTCTGATCTATTAATTCTAGATAAGAGACTGAGAAGAAAAAACGCTTTCCCAAAAGCAAGGCACCTTTGAGTCTTCGAAACAGAATGTATTGAAGAAGCCAGAGCATAATTTGATGTAGAGGCTGACAAACCTGAGGATAGTGTTAGGAAAGAGGTTGGGACAGGAAAACACTATGGATGCTGAAGCTGAAATCAGTCAGAAAGTAAGAAATATACTCTAAATGTCGGAGATAATATGGGTATAAAGCAAATAATGTGGCTTTTAGCTGAAATGTTAGCATATGAGAAGAAAACCCCACAGTAATTTGGAAGCAACTCTTAAGTATTAAGGACTAATCCATCTTCTCAAAAAGAGAAAGGAAGGTGTATCTTCTGAGCACCAGGGTTAGCAGCTAGAAAACACAAGGTTTGAGATAAGACAAGGAAGGAGAAAGAGTATATGGAAAAGATTTAGAGTTGGAGTTCTTAATTTCAGGGCTCCTAAAACTTTGAAACTTTGTATGATACTGCGAATATATGTGGTTTTTCCGGGGAATATGTCCAGAATTTTTATCATGGTTTTGAATATGTCTGTTATCTTCCAAAGCATTAAGAACCATTGATCTGTATCAGGGAAACAACAAACTAAAATGCTTGTAAGGACTATGCCATTGGCATACATGCACAATGTAGGATGGGTTCATGCACTGCTCTGAAGCCTTACTCATACCTAATTACACTGCTTGTTAGAACATTTGCAGTCACAACAAAATCCAAACAAGATAATGATCCAAGGGCAATATTCAGCCCATGGCAGCCAGCTTGTGATAGATTCTCTACAAATATAGCCTTGTAGGAAGGAATATGGCCACAAATGATAGGAGGATTTATAGGGCAGAGTGTAGGGAAAAAATTATGAATGGGAGGTAAAGATGCAAAAGCATAAGGAAAGGAAAAAAGATTTTTGGAAAAAATAAAATAATGAATATAATAATATATATTAATTCAGAAAGGACAACTTTCCTACTAAATAGGAAAGAAGTCTAAGGTATAGAAAAAAAATGGTTCTACAAGGCTACACACAATAATTTCAAGACCAGTAATTCCATTTTTTGAACTTTAATTCTGTGTTTTATCCACCTCTTTCTTAAATATCTTTGGTACCATAGCTTATTTATATACTTGATAAAAATATAAATAGAAGAACTCTTTTCTTTCTTAAGAACTAAATAAAATATCCAGGTCACATACCTCATTAAAACTATCCCACAGATCATCACTTTTAATGGATCCATAGCTATGATTATGCAGGTAAAAGAAAACAGCATGTTGAAATACATCCTCACTAAGATAAGTTTTCAGCATCAACAAGAGAGAAGCTCCCTGTTAAAAAAAAAAAAAGTGAGAAGGGGGTGGAAAATAATGGACTACAATAGGTTTATAGAATTGACAATCCAAATTTCAAAATACAATCATACTAAGTATATACTTGCACTATAGAATCTAGTTATAATACACTGTTCTTTAATGTCATGTAATCAGATATGAACTTTGTTCAAATTGTCTTAAAAATTATTTTAAGGGATTTGACAAAAGAATAATGGAGCAGATTCCTATGTGCACTAATTCTACTATGAGCCATTTTATGTGGTCTATCAGTTACTGTTTCAGTGTTATGTTAAAAAGTTAAGTGTTTGTGAATATATCTTTAATAGAAAAACATGCCAAATTTTCTGTGGAATCCCCATCCCTATCCCCAGTGCTTAAAGTGCCAGCTGAATTCATTGGGGCACCTGGGTGGCTTAGTCGGTTAAGCGTCTGACTTTCGCTTGGGTCATGATCTCGCGGTTCGTGGGTTCGAGCCCCATGTCGGGCTCTGGGCTGACTGCCAGCTCAGAGCCTGGAGCCTGTTTCAGAGTCTGTGACTCCCTCTCTCTCTGACCCTCCCCTGCTCACGCTGTCTCTCTCTCTCTCCTAGAAATAAATAAAACATTAAAAAAAAAAGTGCCAGCTGAATTCATGAATTCACTGCCAGAGACAATAAACAAGCAGAACTCTCAAAAGCCTCTCCGCTTGGGAGTGCATCAATTTCCAATTTTAGTATATCATGTTGCTAAAATAACCAAGATCTCTCTTCTTGCTGTAGAGTTACTTCAAATATGTTTGGAACTAATGAATGCATAGGGGAATAAGCATACACTAATAATTTAGAATCCAGCATACAAGTATTAAGGTCACACTATATAGTCATTGAAGCACATGCTATCATTTCCAAAAACACCTGCGTGAAGCCATTCCTGATTTAAGACAGAAATGTTTCTCCATCTTCAAGAGCAATTTGTATCACTTCATGCATCTGCTACAGATTCTTGTTCCCAACAGATCCCTTTCGCCCCTGCCTAACCAACTTTCCCTCTCTACTATTATATTCCCATTAACAAAATTATACAACATTCCTCCTTTACAAAGGGGGGATAAAGATGTCCTCCCTTTCTTTAACCCCATGTCTCTTCCAGTTATCACCCTATTTCTTATTTCCCCCTTTGTAGTAGACTTCTTAAAGAGCTGTCTGTATTTGCCATCTCTGTTTGCTCTCTTACCATTTTCTCTAAAGCGATCTTTCAACCATCATTCTGCCAGAAGTGGTTTTATCAAGGTCTCTGGTGAACTTCATGCTATCTGGAAACCAACATCAATTCCCAGGCTCATCTTAAGCTGCTAGTGGAATCTGATATGACTGATCACCCACTCCTCCTTGAACGTCTTTCTGCACTTAGCTTTGGGACACAAGTCTTCATTGTCCCCTATTCGCTGGCCATCGCTCTCAGTCTCTCCCTGGATCCTCATCTTCTCATCTTGCACAGAACCTCATTTGGGTGGCCTCTGGCATTTACTTTTCAGACTTTTTTTTTTTTTCTCTTCTTTCTAAGTTTACTTCCTAGTTGATATCTAACAGACAACCTACATCAGAATTAGGCTTGGAGATTAAAAAACCCAAATACAGTCTATCTGTCAACACATTTCCCTAGTAACACTTACTTGTTCTTGTACACAATATTGGTAAAATATCCAGTGTCCTATTTTTCTCTGTTATGTGGGATATTTGCCAGATCCCCAATCCTGAAATAAGTAGTTACCACATTGACAGGGGTTAGGTATGCTGTGGAGGCCACATGATAAGACACTGACTTCGGGGTTTAGGGGATAGGGGTCAGAGGATGTCAGAGCTCTGTAAAGGCCACCATCCCCTAAAGACATCTGGTATCAATGACTAAGAAGACATTCTGGAACAACTATCTCTTCATAGCAGTAGCTCTAACCGGAATATATTTAAGGTAGCTAATTAAACTCCTGATTTATTTGTTAACAACAGTACAAGTTTCCATGTCAGTCAAGCGTGAACCTGAAAAACATGGCTCCTTCATTCTTTACCTCCCTTATCCTATCACTAAATCCTTCAGGAACTTCCCTCCCTCCAAAGTTTTTTTACACTCATCATTTTTCTTCCACTTTCACTACCACTCCTAATTCCATCTTTTTACCACATCACACTTGGACTTTAGCAGTAATTTCCTGACTTTAGGTCTCTTTCCACTTAAATCTGTAAGCTGGAACAAATTAGTTTTCATAAACAGTAACTTTAATCAAGTTAATTCCTCTGTTTGAAAAATCTTCTAAAGCTTCCCAGTGCTTAACGAAAAACGTCCAGATTCCTGATGGCATTCAGAAACTTCTACAACTGCCTCAGCCTACCTTTCTCATCTTTCCCCTACTCCACTTATGGCTTCCAACACAATCAAGCATTTATTCCCTCAACAAAAATTTCTTGCCCTTAGTATTCTTGTTTCTTTGTAGACCTTATTGTCCCATTCCTGCCATACTCAACACTTCCCATTCCTCTTTATCCATATTCTTTTTATTATTTAATTCCCTTCAATTTCCATTTTCCTCCAAAAAAGTTCTCTTTATAAACCTAAGTAAAAAAGTCTGTACCATTCATTCTGGACATATCATCCTTAGTGCTTCGCAAGTACCCACCACCTAAACGTTGAGTTTCTTGAAGATATGAGCTGAATCTCATGTGTTTTGTGTGTTTTCTCTGTCCAGTAGAGAAATTAATTAATTAATCAATTTGGCAGTCAGAGTAAGGAGGCAAATAAGCCCTAACATTCACACCTCCCACCACAACTGTGAGTGGCACTGTTCTGTTCTCTGACCTGTGGTGATCAGGTTTCCAGCTTTCTGTTTTTGCTTCACCCCCAAACCTGGAGTCTGTGTTTCTGATCCTACAATCTAGTTTTCAATTCTTAAAATCTCTTTTTGTTTTTTATTTTTGGCAACTGTGACTTTGAACATCCCTCAATCCTCACTAACACAGCCAAAGGCTTGCTTAGAACCTTCCCTGGACATATTCTATCTGTAGATTCAGGGAATGAAGCAACTTTGTTCTATTATCTGATTAACTACCCAGAATGCCAGTCAGAAGAACTTAAATCAGAGAAAGAAAGACCCAGAAAAAGTTAAAACCAAGATTTAAATAAGAGCAAACATCATGCAGTTTAAAAGTATACCTGAAAGTAATCTTAAAATAATCTTTAAAATATCTAATTTTAATCCTTAAAATAATCTAAATCACAAAGCTTGCTGATGAAACCCACTCCAGGTACTTGGTGTGTAGAGCAGTACCTTAAAATAGGAAAGAGAATCAAACATTTCTTCGATCTGTTCTGAAGACTGAACAGATGATGATGATATTGGATGAGATGAATTCAAGGAATCCTTCTTCATGGTTTTAAATCGCGCATCTAAGAAATCTTCATACTAGCAAAAACATCAAACGTATTATGAAATCGTGAACAGTATCAAAGACAAAGGCAAATATAGTAATTATTTATATGAATTAGACTACTATTTAAGGTCATTATAAAAAAATACCCATCTTCACTAAACTTCAGAAAATAAGCTTTTGGAAATATAAGAATAGAGACCTTCATTCATATTCCTTGCATTTCAAAATAAAATGATAACCTCCTGGCCATGTGAAAAACATTAATTTCCCAAACCACAGCATAAGGATAAATTAAGAATCTATTACTGAAGCAACCAAATGTGCCAAATCCAGATATTCAACATAAATATTCTAAGATGGTTAGTGTGTACTTTTAAAGTAACATTTAAAATTAAACAGCAAAAATAAAAATTGGTCCTTAATCTGATTTCTCATATGTGGTACAAGTTTCTATTAAGACAATATACATTTCCCTTCACTGAGGTTCATTTGAAATAAAATATAACACTTAAATAGAATTCTTTGCTAGTTCAGCAGATGAGCTCCCCCAGAATATATATTAGGAGGTTTTAAACATTCTGGGCACCACCAAGTGGTGAAACTGTAGATCTCATTGCTTAATTAAGAAACATACATGGATTTAGAATACTAGTATTCTATATACTAATATTTAGTATTCTAGCTAAAAATGAGCTCCTTTTACATACCTGAAGTTTCCGAATAGGACTTAGACAAAAATTTCAAATTGAAAGCTCTTAAGGGTATCCCTGTTTTGAAGCAGTCTTGGATCATATATCCAGGAAGTTTAACAGAAAGTCACAGAATTTTAGGGTTGAATGGGATCTTTATACTTTGCCACCTATTGCTTGAATTATTTGGCAATACCTCTCATACCATGGCCATTCTCCAGGAAGTCTAGTAACACAGTAACATTATTATGCTCTCTGTGACAGAATGATGTCCCATGTCTTTGACAAGGGCACAAATATGGCTGGTACCTTAACACAGCAAATTATTTGTCTGTATCAACCTATGTTATCACTGTTACAACAATGATCACAGTGAAAACAGAGAGATAGTATTGCTACAAAAGGTCTTATTTTTTCTCTCTGTTTATACAAAGGACAAAAAGTTTTGTTTAGCTAAAAAGGTTTTTCAACTTCATCTAAATTCCTTCAAGGAGAAGAGCCACATCTATTGGAAATAAAATATAGCAAAGTGACTTAAAATGTTCATCTTAACAAGGTGTGAAATAATTACACATAATTTTGGCTTTCAATGAAATATGTCAATAAGTAAAAGCTTAATTTTCACTGTCAAAACTCAAGAGGTTTAAGCTATCAGTAACAAGGGTCAATTTTATTGTATCTTTCTAGAAACATTTTCCATACTCCAAATGCCTACAAAATATGTGGCAAATACAATTTATAGCACATCTAACAAACAGTATACTTACACTAGAGAGCTCTTTGAATATTTTTTCCAAAGAGAAATACTCCATGAAAGTAGCAAATCCTTCATTTAGCCACAGATCATTCCACCACTCCATTGTTACGAGATTACCGAACCACTGCAGGGAAAACAAAACAAAACAAAACACCCTACTAACCAACACAATATTTATACTGTCAAGAATTTTCTAATAATTGAATTGTCAGCTTAATTCCCTTTAGCCAGAATACAATTGCTTAAAAATAGTTAATTAGTGAAAACAAACTATATTCAAATTGAAGACTTTCAAAAATTTGCATAAATTTATGCTAAAATGAAAATTAAACTTTTAACATTTTACCTTGTTGAATGGGAAAACAAGCAGAATACACAATTACGGATTTATCAAATTAACACACACCCGTTCACTAAGTAAACAAAAAGTTTTTAGCCACTTCATTAAAAGTGGTATTTCCTAGATAATGACATTCTTCTACCTACTAGCATCAAATTAGTAAGATTATTTCTATTCTATCTTCAGCCATCCATGACAACTAAAAAATAAATTTCTGTTTTTTATTTTTCCTACACGGTTTTCCTACATGGAGGTTTTCCTACATGGAGCCTATATATGCTTCCCCTTATTACCCAAGTTGAGAACAGTATTTACATGATTCAAAACAGAATTCAAACAACATTCTTTAAGAAAGTTGGCATGCCTATAAATAAATGAAATCAGAAATATCTTTAAATGTCTTCATCTGTGATATAATAATAATAAGGAAAACAATGATAAGGAGACACTCCAAAAAAAAAAAAAAAAAAAGTATCTCAAACATCCCTGTAATGGAAGTGGTAGGTTACAGGGTATGCAATTTAGTGTAATACGGGGCTCGTCTCAGATCGGCAGCAAAATAATAAGGTTACTGGGTTATTGAAACAAAACGTTTTTGAGCATTACAATAACAAGTTTTTTAAAGATATTATTTTAAAGCTTACTTCTGAGGAATATGATTTATAAGTCTTAAAGTAACTGAGAAGTGGTTATGCAGAGGCCCCAGAAATAACAGACCTAGAGAAGAGTCCCTAAAGGACAACTTGTCTACATGCCTAAAACTGTAATTGTCAGTAAGTATGTGCTTCATATGCAAGCCCATTATGAAGTCTTCACAAGGGCTCTAGAATCATACCCATATAGGTGTTTGTGACAGGGAGCAAATTGACCAAAGCATGTGCACACCCTCCTTCCATCACGGCACCCCCAAACTACACCCAACACTGCTAAGCACCTCATCAAGGGACAAAAGAAAGAAGAGGTGTAGAGAAAGAAAGGGTGGGGGCGGATTCATGTACCCATATAATTTTCTTTTTTTTTCTTCTTGTCATACAAAGAGTACCCTTCCTCTCCCAAATTAACAAAGAACGCAGTTTGAGCAAGAGAAGAAAATATAAATCCAGTCCTGACAACTACAGTCCAAGAGTTGTCAGAAGAGAATGCAATTTAGGGGAAGGGTTTCTCCACCACAAAGTTATACCGAGGGGCTAGCATCTGTCAGAGGGGAAACAGCTGTGTATTACTGGTGGTAAAAAAGGAGAGACATCTTGAGGAGACAGTGGCTCTTCAAGGGCCAGTCCTGTCAATTATTAGCTGTATGACTTTGGGTCTCAATTTCCACATCTGTAAAATGGGATTATCACCTACCTCAGAGCAGTTACAAAAAGTAAATGAGATAATGGATGTGAAAATGCTTTATAAACTGTAAAACCCTATACAAATATTAGATAGCAATTTCTTTATGTATGTATGTACCTATGTTTTTAAGTAATCTCTACACCCCATGTGGGGCTTGAACTCATGACCCTGAGATCAAGAGTTGCATACTCCTATAACTGAGCCAGCCGGGCACCCCTAGATAGCATTTTCATTTGATGATCAAGTTTGTGTTAAAAAAAAAAAAAAAAAAACAGCACCATTTTATTATGAAAATACACAATACTACAATAAAAAGCTGAATTTCTCATTAGCTTTTTCTAATTTCTTATTCTAAAATTCTTATTTACCTTATTTTCTTATTCTAAAATTCTACAATATAAAATATAAGTATTAAATATAGTAGCCATGGCTATTATTACCTGATGGGACAGCTCATGAGCAATGATTTTAGTTACCAGCTTTCTATCCGCCACTGAAGAAGTATTATTGTCATACAGAAGTGTCTCTTCCCGGAAGGTGAGCAAACCCCAATTTTCCATTGCTCCTGCTTCAAAGTCAGGAATAGCCACCAAATCTGAGCATGTGAAGAAAGAAGTAATCAAATTTCACTCATCTAAGGCACTCCCTAAATAAAAATTTTTTACCAACTGGTTTATCACGGTGAATCAAAAGGCAGGGAGTTCATTTTATACTCTTGGCAAATTGAACCTTACTCTAGTCTTCTATGTTCCCCACCTATCAGTCAGTTGAGAAAGACCCGACCAATCCCTGTGGAGTCACCGTTGCTGTCCCTTCACAAAGGAATTGATACCTAATTATTTCACAATGAATCAACCTCCTAGAGCAAGGAAGACAAAGTACAGGCCCAAGGTTCTTCTATCTAGGACCACCTTGTGCTTTCCTGAGCTCCTATTACTCAGTTTTTTTTTCTGTGAAACAAAACTTCTTAGGAAGTTAGAATTAGTATAACTCCAGACAAAGCCCTAAGCAAATTCCCACTTACACAGAACCTGAATAAGCCCTTGTAACAGTTCCATAAACTTCTGAATGGTTTAAGCTCCACATTTAGCCTTTAAGGAATGTAAATAATCTTAACAAATATAAACATTTTTTTAAAGCTTTAGGTGATTATTACTTTTCTTTTTAAAATAATTTTGGCAAAAGTTCTTTCTATAAAACATTTGCGAAATGAATCTAGGTTATAAAGGTAATGAAAACCAGAGGCACTGTTTGATTCTTACCCAATTTCTTAAGTGGGTATTGAATTTCAAAGTAGTTTTGATAGAATTCAAGAAGCTTCACAGTTGTTTCCAAGGCATGGTGAACCTGACCAATCTTTTCTGGTACAGCATATATAGAAACCTGAAAGAAAACATACATTGACTCATATATAGATATATATATATAGATCTATAGCTATATACACACGTATATATAGATCTATAAATATATATATACACACACGTATATATATATCTATATATATACACATATACACACACACACACATATATCATGTAAAAACAGGTACAACTAAAATGGCATGATATTCAGATGAATAACATGAAGCATATATGAGAAATGCAAAGAGCTTTATGAGATTTTACAGGACAGAAACTCTTGCTTTGAATTCTTTTCTCCCCTGGAGAATTTAGCAAGTCACTTCCACACATAGAACAATGCTCAAAAACTTACTGGTTTTGTTTTTTACTTTTCAAGTTAACAGAACATTCCCAAATAAAATATTTTGGGTCTTATTAAAACAGTTTATAAGCATTTGCCTATTAATTTTATGATTCTTGTCTTCTTCATTACCTCAAGTTGCCCTTCCTTACCTATGAGCTATCAGACTAAATTATTTGAAGAACAAAACAAATTCTCATCTTTTTAGCACCTATTACAGTGCCTGGCATCAAGCAGACACCCGATACAAAGGAATCAGTTCTAAGGTAAACACACAAGGCAGAAATTGTACTCTTGTTGAAATTACCCTGGAAAACCTATTACAGACTAATGCATTCTCTTTCAGAAAGTATGGCACAGCGAGATTTTCTTCCAATCATGGGACTGTTTCCTTTCACCCAGTTGTTGGCTTGTTTTCATGGATCATGTTGTATAAAAAATAATCATACCCACAGAATCACTCAGTGAGTGGTACATGGTAACTGAAACCAACTTAGGGATAATGGATTCATATTCACATTGCCCATTCATTCCAGGATTCATGCTTACTAAAGGGGAGGGCAGATACAATCACCAACATTATTTAAGTTGTTATTCTTGTTTTCCTTTTCTGACTAAATGCATCACTTAAACACATAAGCTATAACTAACTGTAAACACCTTATTCAGTAAGTATCAAAAGGCAAAATTTAAGCATTTATGTTAAAAGCAAAGGGTTTTAAAAAGCAATATTTATTGTTTTTGAATTGAATGAAAAAATTTCCATACTCACCTAGGAATATGAAATATGGGCAAGACCTAGCAGAAAATAGACTTCAAAAAAAAAAAAAGATCTCAATAGGTGGGAAATGAAGACTTACTGAACAATTCATCATTTGAACAAAAATGCACTGATGAACTCTAACTCCAAATTAAATTTACTTCTTTCATTAAAGGACTAAAAAGATGTCAACAACTTCAAAAAGTTCAAATGGATTTCAATCATAATTGTCTTAATATAGGGCTTTAGTCTATAGAACACATGCATTAATTACAAAAACATGGAGGTAAGATGGAATAAAAATTAAATGTAATGCAAAAAACCTTTTAAGTCAAAAACCCCGAAAAACTGGGTGTTAAATTAACACCCACTTAGAGAGCTGGGTTCAAATCTCTGCTAGTTGTGTGACCTTGAGCAGGTTAGTTAACCTCAATTTCCTTATCCGTAGAAAGATAATAAAAGTAGCTCCTTACCCTCCCTGGGTTGCTGTGAAAATTAACTGTTCAATACATGCTAATTACTAGCATTATTAAAAAATACAGCCCTGGGGTGCCTGGGTGTCTTACTTAATCAAGCATCTGTCTCTCGATTTCAGCTCAGGTCATCAACTCAGTTTATGAGTTTGAGTCCCACATTGGGCTCTGGGCTGACAGTGCAGAGCCTGCTTGGGATTCTCTCTGTCTCTCAAGAATAAATAAATTAAAAAAAAATACAGTCCCAAAAGAAACAGGGCAAAATATGTGTGAATACAGCATGTGTGGCAATAGTTACTAGAAGAATAAAGTATCTAGGACTGGAGTTAGTAAATCAAAACATGTTGCTTTCTAAGGTAACTATGAATGAAATTTAATTCTCCCATATCATGTGGCCAGGTGTACTCTACCAGCCCACTACCATACCATATCTGCAGCCCTTGGTCTCCCAAAGGAACCACAGGTTCATCTTGCTGATGTGGGTACATCCTGCATCTTTCCTCCTCTGAAGTCAATGATGGGGGGTTGGGGACCTAATATATTCTTTTATAATCTCTAACCACCACTGTAAATAATTATACCAAGATCACTAGGAATTTGAGACAAATCCTTATTATCTCTGCCATTCCTTCCAAACATACATATTTTTACGTTATAGTCAACTCAAACACATAGGAGTTACTACCTCAATGGAAATACCACCCATAATACTCCAGATTCCCTCCTCCAACATCTTTCTGCCACACACACCATTTGGTCACTCCATTTCACATGAAAATGACACCTGACCAAGGGATCCATTTAGTCTCATTTCTGGAATACAATGACTAGTAAAAAAAGGTAGTTTGGTATTTGCTCTTTCCTTCTACTTTTTTTCCCCCTTAAAAGAATATGTGCTATGAGTTCTCACTAGAGATAAATAATCTGGTCTTATAATTATTATCAAGTTGTTTTAAGGGCAATAGAAACATTAAGAAACAGAGAAAACAACCTAGGTCAACAAAAAATCAAGTGTATTGACCAGTATTCTGGGCTTGATAAGAGCCCTGTTGAATGGCAGTCAACTAGCAGTCAGACTGCAGGACTTACAACTTACAACTTTTCTTGCAAGATTCCTTGCTAAGACATTGGGGAGATTTCTAAAATACACAACTATGAAGATACTTGATCAAATATCAAAGGAAAGGGTTCTTTAAGACTGAAGATTTATTAAGTTTAAATTAATCTGTTCCTTAATTTAATGAAAAGCAAAATAAAAGATAAAAGAAGGAAAAAGAATCAAACCTCACCCCCTCAAGGACAATATGGCCTGCAAGATTTATAAATACAGAAAATGCTAGAAGTTTTTGACATTAAGCTTCCTGAAAAACATGAGCTTTCCTAAACAGAAAGCTAAACACACTAAAGTATAAATTCCTAAAACAAAACAAGACAAAAACACACAAAAAACCACACTCACATACCAGTCTCAAGTCTATTCAGAATAAATAATTTGATGGGACTTTAGGAGAATAATCTAAATTATATACAATGTCCCTGCCTGGTGAAGGTCTACTTCAGGTAGATGTTGTTTATGGAAATTTATAACTAAGTCATGTTCCTGATTGAATAGGAATAAATCAAAATTATAACTTCATCTGGATAATACTATTGAAGGTTCTGTTTGAATGTTAAATAGGCTTGGTGTCCACATCCAAGTAACTACCATGGCACTCTGATTCTACAGATTAGACCTGTCTATGGTAAAAAAAAAAAAAATCAGGCAATGGCAAAAACAAAACAAAAACCTGAAGACAAAGCACTGCCTTTTAAAAGAGGTCTAGAATTTTTTAGGTACTTCTGTCATTACTGAACAGAGGTTAAGGAACACTGAAGAATAGGCAGAGGACAAATATCATATGTTTGCATGTATAGGAGAATTAGGAGGAACTTAATGGAGGACCATGGGGGATAAGAAGGGGGAAAATAGTAGGGGAGAGGCAAACCATGAGAGACTCTTGAATCCTGAGAACAAATTGAGGACTGATGGGTGTGTGTGTGGGGGGAGATAGGCATGGAGGAGGGTACATGTGGGGATGAGCACTGGGTGTTATGTGGAAACCAACTTGATAATAAACTATCTGTAAAAAAAAAAAAAAAGGAACACTGAAGAATAGACATAAATGATAAAAACAAATGTTCCTCTTTTTTTAAAACTTCAACAAGATAGTAGTCTTAATCACTAAAGAGGGCATGTTTAATAGTATACAGTCAACTTTGAAAATTTTAGTTGTTTGGTAAGACTGACATTAGTACGTAAAGCCCTACTGCCTTATTCCTGAATCTTGTGAAATAAGCCTAAAGTCAAATACTACAAAACAGAATCCATCCTAAAGATTACAACATTTTAGTGTAACAAAAATCTTGTGTTAGACTTCAAGTCTAAATTCCTGGTCACCATATATACAGAAGTTATTTATGTCATTTGGTGTGAGCAGCAGTGTATTATAGTGGTCAGTACAACCCTGCCTATTACTTTACTCTGTAATCTTGGGTCAATTACTTAACCCCTCTGAGACACTATTGCTTCCCAGCAATATGGGATTAATGCTTCCCTCCCATGTGGTTTATAAAATGAAAAGATATTTACAAATGAGAGCCCAAGACAGCTGACAGCACAGAGCATAGCTCCATGCAGGTTACATTCTTCCCTCATCCTAACAAAGAGAGAGAAAATTAATAAGGCGATTGCTTATTTGTAAAACATTTTTTTCAAAATGCATTTTGAAAAACATGGGCTTTGGGTAGCATTAAAAGTCATAACTTTATATTTACAGACATAAAAGAAAGTTCACAATATGTTTGTATATGGATAAAAAAAGAGTGGACTTTGTGTGTGTGTGTGTGTGTGTGTGTATGTGTGTGTATTACTATCTCCCAGGTACTAAATGTTTTACAAAAAGTTTTATAATTTAATCCTTGAGAGGGCAGGACAGTACTAGATTTGTAGAAGGTAAGGTTTAGATAGGACTACAGAGTAATCTGTCCAAGAGCACATTCTAGTAGGCTGCAGAAGTGGGTGGGACTCCAGAGTCTATATTTAACATGTTGCTTCCTAACACATGTACATTAAAAATTCCTCTCTCTCAATCTCAGTCTCAGTCAATCTCTTTCCCTCTCTCTCCCTTTTCCCTATCCCCTTCTCTCTATGTGAGAATAAGTTATATCTGAGCAATGAATAATTCAGCTTGGCTACATGGAAGAATCCATACTGGAGCAATTAGAAATACAGATGGATTTATAAGAGATCCCTGAATATCAGATTGATGAGTTTGAATGTAATCCTATGGGCAGGAAGGAGGGAGGATTGGAGGGACAGAGGGGAAAGAGAAAGCCAAGACTGCATACATTTCGGGATACAATAAAAAGTGCTTGGGGTTTTATATCAAAGAGTGTGATAACTGTAA